TTCCAGGTAACGCAAACCATCAGAAGGTGAGAGGGAAGTAGGGAGAGCAGGTGGGTCTGCCTTATGCTTTTAAATCAACCTGGGAGCAGGGAGGACTTGAACCAGCGTCCTCTGGCCTAGAGGGTCTACTTTATCTTTCTTTCTTACACTAGAAAGTGTTATCATACACACCGAATGGCTTTCCCCAAATCACCTTGACTTCTTTTTTGTTTTTAACTAGCAACTCCCACCAATTAATCATTCATGGAGCCATTTGGATGTTTACAAGCAAAGCCCATTACAGACAGTGCAAAGCTTCAAAAGTGAGGGAGGATAAGGGAGAGCAGGAAAAATGGAGTTGGATGGGGAAATGAGGCACTGTAACCTCACGGTGCCCACCTCTCTCTAAAGACATTGATGGACACTGCATGCTCCCTCTCCAAGAACACCCAGGCACAAATGTAACCACGGAAAAGGGACAGGCATTTAGCAGAGATGACCCTATCCACAGGTCGCTGGCTAGGACTGTTTACAGCCAGCCTGGCCAGGTGCAGGAGCAGACCCAGACCCAGAAGGAGGTCCTCTGGATCTGTCCACACCCCTCCACACTGGGTGCCCACACATCAGGAGCGTGGGACTGAGGTGCAACCAAAAACACAAAATAGTTTTCAAATAACGAGAAAGGGTGTCCAAACACCCACAACTGGTATATACATGGTCCATGGACTCCACAGCACCACAAAATAAACAATTGGGCTGGGAATCCACGAACTGCCACATTCTGTGGTTATAAGGGTCAGCTGCGTGCAACACCCACCACCCCCAGTCACTGAGGGGAGGAGGGAGGACTCTGGCATAGAGAGCCCTTCACCAGGGATCCCCACCGCAGGCAGCAAATAAATATACCACAGCATGTCTGGGTGGTGGGCATAACTATCCAGGCCAACAGAGTGCAGCAGCAGCTTATACAAAAACCACCTCTTTGCAAAGCAAAAAGACACACAAGGTTTTCCCAAGAGGTGGCTCAGGTTGTGGGGCGTGGGCTTCTGCGGGAGGTTCAGGACCCTGAAACAGCTTCATATGCATCTTAAACTTTCATACCAAAGGGCAGTGTAGATATTTTGCAATCAACTTGCTCAGAGATGTTATTACATATCTCTGAAACAAGTGGGACTTGAACCCAGGCCTCCTGGCTCAGAGGTAGGGACACTCTAATGAGCAGTTCCAGCTGGGCAGGCCATTGCCTGGTACCAAGGGAACATATACTCAATGACCTCCACAGGGTGCGATTCCCCTTGGGCCTGGTAGGGATTATCACAATTATAATCTCCTACAGTATTTTTGCAGCAAGTAATGTGCTGCACAATTTGGATTAAGGTCCAGTATGTCACAGATCCATATAGAGGCATCCGTTGGCTCTCTTTTCACAGTCCTGCTGTACAGAAGATAGTGCAAAGCAATCATTTGAGAGTGATGCAAATTCTGATTGCTCACAGTACTAAGCACCTATTCTATTTCTGATATCCCCCAGCACAGATTCATTGGAACTGTGACAAATGGATCCCTTGCTGTAACTGGTTATCATCACTGTGGCCATGGTGCAACGAAGACACAAAGAAACAGAGGGTCAGCAGCAGTAGCAATCTCCAGCTGCTGCTGAACAGCCAGCACATGAAGTTACAACTGAAGATCCCCACAGGACACAGACAAAATACAGGAGAGAAACAGGCAATTTTTCTTTATGCCGGGATCCTGCAGATGAGCGAGGCTCACCGCTGTCACAGACTGAGGATGCCCTGGGACACTGTTATAGAACAGTGCTAACTGATGGACCAGGATCAGTGACCTAAAAGACTGGATGACTATCCTATCTCAGCGGCCCTCAAGGGGACACTTTGTTCATTTTTTATGCAGCTGGCTGCTTCCAGGGATTAACTGGGGCCCCATGTGAGATCATTCAATCCTCAACCCACAAATGTACCGAAACTATTACCAATTCAATTTGTGCCAGATTACAATGCTTCAATTTATCTCACTGTGCCAAAGTGCCATCTTTTTGTCCAGTCCAGGCTGAAAGTGCTGCTTAATCCTCGCATGTGATGCTCCCACATTGAACACGGACTAAATGCTATGCTACGTTGAGAGTTATGGAAAAAGCAGTACTCCTTTAAATATTATTCTAAGATCATATTTGTGTCAAGGATGTGTAGTTTGATTCGTTTAAGTATAGTTCCAACGACAGTCAATCAGCCAGATGATATAAAAATGGCAATATATTTATGAATGTGATATTCTGTTTGCACTGAGTTGTCACCCTTGCCACTTTTTTAACCCTAATTTTTATGAATCACAGCCTGGTACCAAGGGAACATATACTCAATGACCTCCACAGGGTGATTAAAGAGTGATTCCCCTTGGGCCTTGTAGGGATTATCACAATTATAATCTCCTACAGTATTTTGCAGCAAGTAATGTGCCTGTGTCTACAACCTGCAAACAGCCAGACCATTCTATGGAATAAAAAGCCTCTGAATTTCTACAGCAATGTCTCCAGATGAAAACTGAACATTTCAGCCGCATTTTAAACAATCTCAGTTGAAAATCAAAAGCCTACAAAATTTTAGAGCTGGATCTAAAACGTTGAATTGAGTCTTTTACTTTACATGAGTTAGAATTTGTCCATTTTATCTACCTCTACCATTAAACTCCAATTGTGTATGTGGATTTCAAGTGCATGTGTTGCATTTCAGGACATACATTGCTGGTTTAGTGCGTTATTCAGGTCAGTTTCAGAATCTCCTTTTACTTGGTTAAAATTCAAGAAAAATCTATCTGGCTAAACCTTTCCCACTAACACACAAGCAGTTAAATACATAGAACGAATTGAGAAGTCTATCTTCTTAAACAAGGAGAAAACAAACCAGGAAAACTATCCCATTTTCCCTTCACCTGGTCGTAACAATTGAGAGAAAGGAAGTCTGTACACATTTCCAACTTTGTTGGCTCACAGCCTCAGGCAGTAATTTTGCACTCTGAATGCCTTCCACGCTTATATTAGTGTGGTTAAATATTGGATTTGCAACAGATCTGAAACTGTCACTTGGCAAACATAATGTAAAAGGTATGAAATTTATCCCATTAGGAACGAGCGAGATAACCAATTCCATATATTCACAGAGACTCAGAGGAAAATATACCATGCATCAACTGCAAACAGTAAAAGTATTGCCCCAAAAGTCAGTATTGCACAGGGAAAGGAAATAGAGCTGATCCAAATCTAGATTAATTTCCCTCTGGGAATGGACCTTTAAAATTTAATTTGAAATTTTCAATTGCTCATTTTTATTAAAGTTTCCAACCTTCTCAGAATTAAACATGTCAATGTAACTAAAGACATTGACTGGAAGAAACTCTATTAAAAAAAAAACGACTCGAATCCGTGGCACTAGTCTGAATAGCAGCCAAAGCACGGCTGTAGTTAAAGCAGAATTTAATGTTTCAGTATAGTTTAATACAGGGCAATATTTCATAACTGAGAAAACCTCTAATGATTTCTGTCACAGTACTAATGTTCTATGCAAGCAAATTCCAGTGATGGACTTTGCAAAGTACAAATTAATTTCAACATCCAGTTTGAATATTGTAGACTAGAGTTTCTGAACAATGAATTGTAGACTAAATATTTCCTACAATCTGATCCACTTAATCCTACGTGATAACATTTCTTAATAACTGAATTAAGTTAAATTTGTGCATCTGAAAGGCATATGAAACACAAGTTTTAACACTCAGATCTTTTGGTATTAGCAATACCAATGAGCTATTGATAAATTGGTGGGAACGTGGAGTAAACTTTATGCACTTTAAGACAGACTACCCAGTGTAGTTGTTGTGACAGAAGTGGGCTGAAAAATTGAATTGGATCACTCATTTCCCATGCTAACAGAAGTTTTTATCATTGGCATCATGCAAGAGACCAGAATACCCACCCATTAAAGTTGGCAAACCCTTTAAAAGTATGTAAATGACCTGCACAAACACCCCACTTGCAATTTAGAGGTTGAATGGAAAGAGAACTGTATATCCTCTACCCATTTTCTCCTGGTAATTTCTAGAAGTTCTAATCATTTTTGTTTGGTTTTATTGCGGTGGGCAGTGAGATTGGTCATCCCAACCCATCTCTTCTGCAATTGGTTCCCTCTCCAGATCTGCAATCTGACTGGCTCACCATACCTTCTAGCCAGAATTAATCCAGTCACCAATCATTTCAGTATTTCATGTTCACATCTTGCTGGGTCATGGCCATCAGGTGGAAGCCAGATAATGACTCAACATTTGCTTCTGGATTTGAAGATCTCTTTGCAACTCAGCATTTCTCCCTTGTTACAGCTGTAGTGAGAAATGGACTATCAGTGTTCAACTTCCATCATTTGACTTCAATGCTTGAAACTTACATGGCCTAAAAATGGTTTGTAAAAGGACAGTGCTGAACTAAAATAGTTGCTATAATCACCTGACAAGTTTTGACAACCCATGTGAAGTAAATGACCATTTTAATTAAGAGGCACTGAAACTCAGTGAGGTGACAAGAAATTCACATCTGTTACACTTACACAATAACTTCATGAAAGGTTGTTTCTAACTTTTCCAGCTTGAAGTAAAACTGACACAGAAAACAGAATCTGCAAAGGGATCGTCTATCAACAGCAGCCTTTCAGATAGAAGGCAACATGAACTGGTAACTGAAAGGATACCGGAAGCTCTTCTCTCTGAAACTATAAAAACCAACACTGGTTAAAAAAGAAACTGAAAATAATCATTCGCTGATAACTCCGGATCTGTAAACTCTGTCACTGCTAAGCAAGACCAAACGACAGCTAAACCGTGGGAATGACATTTTCATTTTCACAACAGGAGAGAATGCTACGATCTGCAAGTGCATTTGACTTTGCCAAGCTGTCTATATTGCTTACCTCAGGCCACTTCTCTGGAATTTGTGTTTGGTAGTTTGTTTGCTGTTACTTTTGTTGGGGGGGGGGGGGGCGTGTGGGTGTGGGTAGATGGGTAATAGGTAAAACTTCAAAGAAAATCTTAGGATTGCCTCTTCTTCCTTTTTGATTTGGTTAACTAAGTTTGATTGCAGTGTTTGATGGCTACATGCTAGAAAAGCATAATATACGTTTAGCAGAGGTATAGAGAGATCAGGATGTCCTCGTGCATGATTTGCAAAAGATTAGTTAGGTAGAGCAAGCGATTGGGAAAGTGAATAGAATGTTATTATTTAAAAGAGGAATTGAGTACTAAAGTAGGGAGCTTCAGTTATACAAGGAACTGGTGAGACGAGAAACAGGGCTGGTCACCTTATTTAGGGAAGGATGTAAATACACTGGAGGTAGTTCAGTATTGGCTTCCAAGACCAGTACCTGGAACGGGTGTGTTGTCTTAGGAGGACAGGTTGGACAGGTTAGGCTTGTATCCAAGGAGTTTAGAAGTGTAAGAGGTGGTTTGATTGAAATATTTAAGATCCTGAGCGATTTTGACAGGGTGGATGTGGAAAGGATGTTTCCTGTCGGGAGACAAACTAGAATTCGAGTTCACTGTTTAAAACTAAGCGGTCACACAGAGATGAGGGAAACATTTTTCTCTGAGGTTTGAGACCCTTTGAAACTCCCTTCCTGAAAAAGGGTGATGGAAGCACATTCCTTGATTTTTTTTTTTTTTAAAAAACGCAGAAGTAGATAGATTCTTGTTAAGCAAGGAATTGAAAGGTTATTGGGGTAGGCAGGAATGCTAATTTGAAGTTGAAATCAGATCAGTCATGATCTTCGTGAATGGTAGATCAGCTCCGAGGGCTGATTGACCTATCCCTGCTTCTTGTTCACATGTTCGTATGCTCATGAGCAGTAATAAACGTCTCTTGAATCTTTCAATGAGAAGTTATCCACTCTAGTTTCTATATTACAGGAGCTAACAAGTATCGCTGCACAAGGTAGAAGTACACTGTTGGAGGTAAAGCCTAGTGGTGGTTGTAGCTCAGTGCCATTATTCCCCTTGCCTGGTTGTAACAGCTTATTGGTAGGTCCATAGTTGGTACGAAGGTGGCATCACAGATAAAAAAAACTGGAACTCTTCTAGAAGAGGAGGATGCTAGGAAACTGAAATTAAAGAAAACAGAAAATTCTGGAAAGATTCAGCAGGTCAGGCTGTGTCTTTGGATGAGAAGAAAAAGGATAAACCTTTCCGACAAATGAACAACAAAAGATCATAGATCTGACTCAATGGTGTTTTTTGCACCAATGCTAGTTGACCTGCTGCGTATTTCCAGCATTTTTGAGTTTATTTTGGAACTCAAAATTCCATATAAAGAAACAAAGGATGACTGAGGATGTGTTTAAAACTGCCAAGAGCAAAAAGATTACCAGAAAGTAACATCCAGAGAAGAAAATGGCAGCATTCTGGCCATTTGATCAGAGCCGATTAGCTGCAGAGATCTCATCTAGCTGGTAAAATGGAGGGCAGCAGGAAAAGGGGCCTACCTAGGTGATTGAATGATGGATGTCACAGTGTGATTGAGGACAGGTTTTAGTGGACGTGTGAGGTTGGTGCCTGGCAAACAATAGCAGCACATAATCTCCTTGTCGAAGGAGTAGCTACAAGCGACAGCAGTATTGTGGAGAACTCCTGTGTTGGAACATGCCCGTTTGTGAACTGTTGAATGATAGGATATCCACCTCCAGTGTTAATCATTTTTTTTGGGCTGTGTACTTCACATTTATCAAATAACCTCAACCTTTCTTAAAAAAAAAAAGGGCTGCTTTGATTTGGTCTCTCTCTGCTGTGAGCTCCTTAATAGGAAGCAGTGCACAGTAATCTGGGATACACTTCATTAATGAACAGTTGGGAATCAGCAACTATACACTGTTCTCACTGGCAAAGTGCATTCCATGTGGGCAGAGATCAAATCATTCATAGGCTGGATGATTCTATTCAGATCACAATCCCATTGAAAGCAAGCCAAATAGTCATACTTCGTGATGTTGATGGACAGGAAATGGATCCTTTCCACTGAGCTTTCAGAACTGTTCCCCAAAATCCAGCTGGTTACTTCAACTTCTGACACTGAACCAACTGCCAAATGAAGCTCTGTCTGTCAAATCTGTTGTGATTTCCCAGTGGTTCAAGCAACAAAAAGGAGCACAGCCCTTAAAAACGATCTGAAAAATATGATAGAAATTAAATTAAATAAGCTTAAAAATTGGGTTGGGGTTGTGATAGTGGTCATGGAAACAACTTATTAAATTGAAACAAAAGACACAGAATTTGCTGAAGAAGCTCAGCAGATCTGGCAGCATCTGTGGAGAGAAATCAAAGTTAACATTTTGGGTCCAGTGAACCGTCCTCAGAACTGTTAATGTTGAGTCCAGTGACCCTTCAGAAGCAGAAGCAGCTAGGATAAGATGGTATTTTTATGTTGATGGCAGGGGTTTGGGAGGAAAAAGGTTGAGTGGATACATGGAGATGGAACCCAGAGAGAGCGAGAGAAGTAAGGTTAAGCAAACAAAAGGGATTGTTGACAGAAAGCAAGGGAAGGGGAGATGCTGGACAGGTGATAGTGGGGATTGTAAATAGTTGAAAATGAATTGGTTGTGTTGAAAGCAGCCCAGTTCAGGACCGGACCTAATGTTATTTTACAGACAGAACATAGGTGTTCTGCTATTCTGAGATAACAAGGTGTGGAGCTGGATGAACACAGCAAGCCAAGCAGATCTGCAAATCTATCACCCAGTCTGCGTTTCATCTTCCCAATATAGAGGAGATTGTATTGTAAGCACAGAATACAGCAAACTAGACATTAAATTGACACTGGCTGTAGGTTCTCTGATTACCGGATATAGCCAGTGCTAACTGTGCCGTTATTCAACTGTAACCTTCAACCGAGGGACTGCTACCATAACTGTCGAGTGCTTAATTAAAAGGTAGTTTCACCTTTTCAAGCTGAATTGTATTGTGGTTGTAAGAAGTTAGTTGAAAACCAAATCTGTTACTTAGTGAAATGTCGAAGTAGGTTTTTTCTAAATGCATTGGTGATCTCAATGCCAGAGGTAGGGGGAAGAAGAAAGGTCTAGTACCCAAGGTAGGCAGGGTGGGAGTACAGGTGGCCCTTGAGATATGTGCCCATAAAGGAAGAGGGAGAAAATAGCAGCCTAGGTCAGCTCCAAGACCGTAACTCCAAGATTTTGAGTCAGTGCAGAACGATTAATAATCAGATATGTGTTGCTAAAATGAAAAAGATCAACCATCAAGTGGCATTTCATATCATCTGAACCACCAGTGGCATCCACTGCTGGTAGCATTACAGCCCCTACACCTGCCTACAAGAAATCACAATCTGTACTCAACCATTCAGTTCATACAGTCAGTCAATCTACAACTCGTTGCTCACATGCACAACAGCTAGTCATCCAGGACTGTCAAAATGAACCAGATTGCAGGAGAAGGTATCACATAACAGCAAACATCATTCACTCTTACAGTTCTGGCTACCAGCTCATAGACTGACACTCTGTGTAATTCCAGAGATAGAATTCTGGAGGGTCCTGCAATGTGATGATACATAGGCCAAGGATTGATGGAGGGTTGTGATTGGGGCTGCAAGGTTTGGGAGGTGTGGGAGGGGGTGTGAAGCGTATTGATTCTATAGATGGTAGTACGCTTGAGGGTGAAGTCATACACAAGCTGTGCTGCAGATGACTTCACTGGACCAATGATGAGATATGGTTGACCAGTGGAACACAAACAAAAGCTGGAAAGCTTGGAAGGAACCCTTCACACAAATATCAAGGAGGACTCCGCTTCCAAAATGGCCTCAGTGCTTTGTACTGTGCTTGGAGGGTATCCTTTCCAACACGAGATGGCTTGGCACCTCCATTAACACACTGTATTTGATGCAGTGCCAGGTGGCTGATGGCCCTGCTTTCAGTACAGCACACACATTTGACTGCTCTTTTGGGAATTGCAAAGTGGTGCCTTCAAAGCTCAGACTGTTGCTCCTGTGGCCATGGACATCAGGGATTGCTCATTTCATCAGGATTGCTACAGCAGTGCCTTGGGAGGGTGCAGTGTCTCCATTTAATGGGAGCCTATTGTCTCCTCTCTAGAGGATGGCATTACTGGTCTCATCCCTGTCACTCCACCTGTGTCCTTCTGGCACTTGGCTGCCCACTAACCCACATCACCTCCAAGCTGAAATGGTGCAGTCTGAAGCTGGCACCGCTAGACCTGGACTTCTCTAGGTATCCTCCAAAAACTATTTCCTCAATGAGCAATCTTACTGCTGCCACACTTAGGCCATTGAGAAAGCACTTCATAGAAAGTCTGGGAAAGAGAAAATCCCATGGCCAACAGGCAAAATTACACAAGCAACATGAATTGTTTTATTTTGTATGCATTATTTTGAGAGTGAGCTGATCAAATTAAACATTACTATGTATTTAGTGAAGATTTTTATATCTTTGGTGAACCAGTGAGAGTTGTCAGCGAAACAACAGTGAGGTTGGAAAGGGAAGAAATATAGGGATGTTGATGAATGAGGCGGCGTCGTTGAGATTACTGCTATATTACCATAAAGGCCAGGCTAAACAAAGTACTGTCAATTTCAAAACTCACTTCCTTGAGAACTGAAAGGCTCCCCTAGAGCAGTCCAGTACAAGCAATGGAAGTATACATGAGGACACTGATTATGGTGGGCTCCAGTATATTCCTTGTCACAATATAGTTCTCAGTGTAGGCCTGCAGAGCACATTTACATGGATTTCCCATTGTCAAAGTCAAACCTTTAGCTCCTGCTAATTCAAAAATGGCTTTATAGCAAACAGGTTTGAATGAGGCAAAGGTCTGTTGACATCCAGTTTTTGCCTGATGTATTCATACATATGCACGTCATCCAGAAGTCAGTCCTTGGCAAGTACAGACCAGGAGGTTTCTGCAGAACAAAAAGTCATGACTACTGCCAGGGTGCTGGACGTCCACGGCCAACGAAGTGCTGGACGTCACTGATGAAGATGATTACGTTCTCACCCGAAGTAATGTGTATGCAGTGAGCGGTACCCTAAAGCCTGGCTTGCTTTTCCTGTTTGTCCGTGCATTGGTGAATTGTATTGTGGTTGTAAGAAGTGATCCAAGTTAGTTGAAAACCAAATCTGTTACTTAGTGAAATGTCTAAGCAGGTTTTTTTCTAAATGCATTGGTGATCTGAATGCCAGAGGTAGGGGGAAGAAGAAATGTCCTGTACCCCTGTGGGGAGGGTGGGGGTACAGGTGGCCCTTGAGACATATGCCCATAAAGGAACAAGGAGAAAATAGCAGGAAAAGTATTTTTAGAGAGCCTTTGCAACCTCCATTAGGAGTGCACTGTAAACTACGAGATGCCTTTTACAGCAGCAGCATGAAAAGAACAAGAGATATATAAATTAAGAGCCACAGGCAATGTCCTTGTCTTGCTTGGACACTGCAGTTGTGATTGGAGCCATTGTTAGATTTCACACACAATCTCTATTGTGAAATGAAGGCATTTCATTCAATGCTCCTTGCTACAGTTGAGGCAGGAGAATGAAAGAATGTCACCCTAAAGTCTTTCCCAGGATATGGCCTCCTCCTCAGTACTTTTCAAAACCCCCTCCTACTCCTTCTCTGAAGAGGTTCTACTCTGCATCGCCTATTTTTTTTAAAAAAAAACTTTTCCAAATCGCACTCAATTTTAAAGAGGAAGACCCACCAGGCCACCCATTTCAGTAAATAACTTGTTTCGGCACAGTATTTCAAATTAAAATTTTAAAAATACAGCAAAGTCAGTGTGACCACTCCTCACAGAGCACAGCAAATTAAGCCAACAATAGGAAAACTTCAAGAACACAAACAATTACATGCAATAGCCAAAATAAATAATCGAGCAACTAACTTCGAGTATCTTATAATTTCTTTTAATAGTGCTGGCAGGAGTGGGGAACCTGCCCTCTTGTTAAGCACCTTATTCCTCAGCTTTACAAGGTTAAGGCAGGGACAGTGAGGAAGTTCCAAAAATGATAACAGCAGCAAGGTGTTGGCAATTGTTAGACACATGCACCCTAAAACACTGTAAAGAGATGGGATCTTGCAGGAAGCCAGGAACTATTTTGAGTACTTCATGGAGCCTAAAGATAGTGAGCCAAATAGCCCAGTTCAGCCTCAAATGAGTTGCATCATCTTTTGCTTATTCTTGTGATATTGGAGTCAATTGGGAGACATTTTCCACACACAAAGGATTCCTACTTTTACCCTGAGAAGCAGCTGAAGGTTTCTGCAGAGGTGATGAAGGGATTAGTGCAATCGGAGGTTAACAGAAGGGTGTTAGAGTGGGGGGGGGGAAAAAAAATCAGCAGCAGTACACCTGGATGTAATTCCATAGTTACACAGCAAAACACATACATATTCTATTGCAAGACCCAGAGAAAATCTGTACGCGTAGCAAAGAAAACAGAATGATCAATGGGGCTTGTCTAATAAGAATCCTTGTTTACAAACCAATATTTGAGACCAGAGACAAATAACATACACTCCACAAATCCTCAATGCTGATTGATTTGTTAGCATAAGGCTTTACCACTTGTGATTTCCACAAATAAATCCTTTTGAAGTTCATTCAGTCTCTTCTGTCAGAATTTGTTCATAGTTAAGTACCTTGGTTACAATCATAACAAACTATAGGACTCATTATTTTTAAATCCTTTTTAGGAATGTTATGAAAATACCAAGATTGAGGTCTTGACTTTGTCACGGAACCTGTGAATGCAATGAATTTATGACCTCTCCCTACTGCTCCTTTCACTGATGCAACTTGTTTTAAAAAAAAAAATCAGGAACCAGAAAATAACAAAAGTTTTCTTCTCAGAGATGAAGTTCTGGAGACGACAGGCACATTATTTTGTGTCCTTGATTAGCACACTGATCCAATGCCATTTTGCCCAAAAGTGCAACTGAGGGGTAGGACAACTCACCGACAAGCTGTGGACAGCCAAACAATGGAGATTAGAAGCCAATTATTAGAAACCAAATGGAATTGTGGTCTCAGGAACAAGAAGGCCATTCCCAACTCCCTGGGCACAACAGGATACATCTCTCAATCTCTAAACTTTTCTTCTGTTTTGGAGGATCTTCAATTTGCCTTGTGTCTTCAAGGACCTGCCCACTGTCCTTACTAAGGACCACAAGCATTACCTCAGGAGATAAATTGTCCAATTCACAGTCAATCTCTGCCTGGTGACTTCTCTTAAAGCAGTTCATTGGATCCCAGCCCCTAAAATCAAAAGCCCCGCCCTTGATTTCTGGCAGCATACATCTGTCTTATCTCATTTTGTTTAAATCAAGAAAGCTTCCTATTAAATGTAACTGCTGAGAAAAATAGCAGTAGTTTCTGAGATTGGTATTTCATTTGAATGTTAAGTAATTTTTTTTCTGGGGATTGAGAATATGAGGAACTTGATGCATGGCAAATTGTAAGTTGGGAGGACACATGAAATTGGACTATAGCTCCTAAAACTCCCACATTAGAGATTTTCCTCAACTCATTTTGTTGTAGATTGATTGATGGAGATTAATTGCTTTAATTGCTCAATAGCTCCATTCTAATTGTATCACGTGACTACCAGGGTGACAAAGGGATCTTGATCTTTCTTGTCCAATAATCCCTAGTTTCTTATTTAGTAGGCAGCTGAATCAGGGCTTGGGAGGACTGTTGTGGTACAGTGATTGTGTCCTTACCACTAGATCAAGAGACTTAGGTTCAAGTCCCACCTGCTTGAGAGGTGTGTAATAATATCTCTGAACAGGTTGATTAGAAGTACAGGTTAATTTTTTTTTAAAAATTCAAATATTGTGAGTTTTGATTCCTCAATGAGAGGACACCTCACTACATTAATCTCTGTAAACCTGACAAAACTCACCAGACTGAGGTAATGAGGTTTGGCACACAGCCCTGGGAAATAAACTCTTGACCTTCTGGTTGAGAGTCAATCCCATCAGCTACCAGGCCACCCATATCTTGGAGCTCTGGTCTTCATTATCTAAATCCTGGATAAGGAACCAAGTATGTTGTTTACATGAGGAAATCAAATTCAATTTGAATCTGCTCAGTCCAATCTCTTGAACATTTTCCTCACCTATGCCCTCTGCACCGGACAATACAAAATATTTTTTTAATGGCATATTTATGAATACATCAGGCAAAAACTGGATGTCAACAGACCTTTGCCTCATTCAAGCCTGTTTGCTTTAAAGCCATTTTTGAATTAGCAGGAGCTAAAGGTTTGACTCTGATCAGAGTTCAGAGGAAATTAATTTGCACTATTTACACTGTAGCTTTTAACTTAAAACAGCTGCAAAGTCCAAACAAAGTGGAAAGTGCAGACGTAGTGTAAAGACGTGATTATTCATATGCTCAGGAAGCTTAAGAGGTCCATTCAGTTAACCATTGATGGCACTTAATGGCTCTCTGTGTACTACCATGTGACATAAATGTGAATTAAAACCTACTTTAATTACATGAACCACACTGCGTTATGGAAGTGTAGTGGTGTTGTCACTGGACTAGTAATCCAGAGACCCAGGCTAATTCTCCAGGGATGTGGATTAAAATACCACCATGGCAGTCTAAAGACAATTAACAAATCTAGAACTGAAAGCTTGTCTTGGTAATAGTAGCCATTACACTGTCATCAATTGTAAAAACCCATATGGTTCACTAATGCCCTTTTGGAGATAAAATCATTATCTGATCTGGCCTGCTTCAGATCCATACCAATGTGATTGCCAGTGTCTTGATAGCGATGCCCACCAAAGAATTTTTTGCAATCTCCTAATCTACATTGAAGCCTATAACATAATACAATTGTGTTGTTATCTCTGTTCCTTTTCAGTCATTTTCCCTGTACATTTGATGACTATAGTCACTTTACTGATACCTCCTTGGGAGAACAGATGGAGGTTAAGTTGACCTTTTTTGAAGCTATCACATTGATATCTGCAATGCTGAGAAGCTATCAGATCATGAAATCACACTGACACTTTGCAGAAATTTGTGTATTACCACATGTCAGTTTTAAAATAAGCTTAAGGAAATAAATAAGTGTTATTTCTGATTGTTTCAAGCATTATTTTTGCATATTTATATCATTTGTTAATTTACCTTCCAAATCAGTGGAGAGTTGGATATCACTGCCAGATGGTGCAATGTCAGCAGTGCAAAATTATATTATGGTGATATTCGCTAGGTTAAGAGAAAGATTATGCCTTGTGGTAGCTCTTTTGTATTTATAAGCAGGATCAGGGGCAGCATTAAAGCATAAACCTGTGAACTCAGAATGCTCCTCTTCTCTGCCTATGTGCTGCCTTCCTTGTTGATGGTGAATAGGAAGGGAGGTCAAAATTTGCCTCTAATGCCTTCTCCAGAGATCTGTTTAAAGCCATAAGAAATGGAATTCACCTCTTTTATAATATTTTGTGCCATTGGTGACTAAAATGCAATCAATATAATCGCGCTAGAAATCCCAAACCATAATAGCAGCTACTAATGAGGATTAAAGTGAAATTCTTGGAAATAATTCATGTTAACTCTTCCAGATTGCCATTGCATAGCTTGAGCCAAATGTGTGCGTAAATGAAAAGTGTATATCTATAACTGATATCTTATATGTGTCAGTCTCTACTAAAACATTGGAATTCCACTAATTGTCACTGACAAGATTTGTTCAATCAAAGATAATGTTGATTAATCATATTGGTTTAGACACGCGGTGATGTATTGAGAATCTTGGAGAGAAGTAAGAAACAAAGAAGCCTATTCAATGAGCAGTTTTAAGGGAGTTGAGTGGAACCAGGACATCAATTCATGTCATTTACCAACAGCCAAAGGTATAATTATCAAGTGGGCAAACAAATCTGGGACCAGAAGTGATAGAAGTGATATGAAAATGAATGAACAATAATGCAAATTGGGAAAATATCCACATCAATTTCAGCAGACAAATATTTTACATATTCAACAATCATCCATTTATCATTTCAACACAGGCATAAATTAAAATGAGCTATCAAAATAGTAGCATGATGAAAATGTCATCCAGTGCATGAAGCTGCATTCAGATAACAGCACAACCTCAAATACCATTGACTGGCTCTCAAACCAAAGTAATTTTCTGAGAGTTTCAGAGGCAAAAGATAACCCATTGGCAAATTCAGAGGAAACTATGGAAAATCCCACTCTAAATCCCCAGAGCTCAACATAACTCAACATAATCCCAGCTCATTAACAATTAACCCTCTCAGTAATCGTGTCCTCTTTGCTGGTGAGCTTGTCAAGTTGCCTTTTAACATGTAAATTTCTTTTTTAATAGGCTGCAGCAAATTCTATCTCAAACACATGCTGCTATTTTCTCTTGCAGAGAGTGTTAGATTTTTGTGTATCAGAAAGTATTTATTTTCACAATCTAAGCCTAACAGACTTTATTTACATACCCTCTCCTTTTGCCATTATTGTCTGTCTCAGTCCAATCCCTTTAGTATTTTAAAACTGTTAATTGTAATTATTATAAACTTCTGTTTCTCCAAAGCAAATTGCTGTAATATTTAATGTCTATGCATTTAACTAAACTTTAAAGTTAGGTTTTACACTGGTTAGATTCCTCTTCTGCTTCTCCTCAATCTTAGATCTTTCATTACATATGTTGACTAAAGCTGTCAATGTTAAAGTTATAGCAGATATACTAGACCCATTTGAAAACTAATTATGTTCTTTGGGCAGGTAATTGGACTCCAAATAATGCTTGGAAAGTTTCTAATGTGGATATACAAAGCTATGAAAGCACAGGCAGTACATATTTCACAATATTATTCCGCGTGTAACTGAATTGGCATCCAACCTGCCTTTTTAGACATTGCAAGGCCTGTTAATGCTGTGTCTTAAACACTCTCAGCTGAGCATGCCTTCAGCTGCACAGGGGATTATCCATTTGCACTATTTGAAGGCAAATGCATGGGATTTGTAGGTGAGGTACTTTTGACTTTCTCTTGCTGCTATTGTGTGAATAAAAATACTGTGTGTGGCATTGTTAGAGGAGACCTCACATGTTCTGGTGTTGGAAGGGAGAGATGTCGGATGTTTTCAGCATACTCTTCTTGGAGTTTTAACTAAATGTAGTTTCCAAAAGCAGTTCCCTCTCTCTTACAGACATAAAGATTTTCTTCTGTCACCAGTTCACATGACAGCAAGAGAAGATGTTTAACAGCACTGTTGGGTTCAATTCTCTCTGGTAACATGCTGGCTAATGTGTTTGCATAAAATTCCTTTGTGTACTATTTCAGTTGAATCATTAAAGTGTTTATTATAAATAGGTTAATGACTGCACAAAAATGGCACACAAAAGAATTTTACCACAAGCCCATTAACCAGTGCACTGCCAGACACGATTAAATTTCCTTGTTTCAAAAGGTTACACTGAGATTTTTCTAACAAAGTGATAGTGTGAGTTTGCTAATCAGTTTAACACTGCATCATTGCAATAACATTGAATATTATATTGCTTCACATTTTTGAAAATATTTTGTAATGTTTGTTGCAGCTTTGTAAAATACTTCTATTCCCATTCTTCATCCAAGTCAGTGAACAAGTCACTTCCAAAATCCATACCCATCATGCCCAGAAATCTGTGTTTGAATCTAGTTTCCACTCATGCTAGAATAGTGAAAGTGCTCTGACTAAGTCACAAATGACATTCTATGTGACTGTGACAAAGGTAAACTTTCTCTCCTCGTCCTTTTCATACCTGTCTGCAGCCTTTGACTCAATTAGTCACACAATCATCCAGCTGAGCATCTGCTCTCATCTGATTCCATTATTTTCCACCTAATTGTATTCAGAGAATCAGCTGCCATGGCTTTTCTTCCCATTCCTGTTTTGTTATTTCTGATATCCCACAGGATCTATCACTGACCCTCTCTTATTTATCATTTATACGCTGTCCCTTGACAATATCACCTGAGAATACAATGTCAGATTCAACATGTAAGCTGATGATGCTTAGCTCTACCTCACCACCACTTCGCTTGTGCCCTTGACTTTCTCTCTATTGTCTGACTTCAGAACCGAATGAGCAGAAATTTTCTCCAACTAAATGTTAAAAAGAACAAAGCCATGTACCTTTTCCCGTGCCACAGACTCCATTATTACGTCATCAGCTGCATCCTGCCTCAGTGG